AAGTTAGAGTTTCCTACTTGTACTCCAACTTTCATAGTTCAATCACTTCTTCGTAACATCGTGTCGGCCTACTTTGCTACTCATGTACTTGTTCGGATGCTCTCTCCCCCTCTCCCCAACCCCCCCTCCCCTCTTCTTCCCCCTTCTCTCCCTCCTTGGAGCATGGCTGATGGTGGGGCTGTGTGCACTCCACTTGCCTTTCAAGAATCTTCGCTTTTACTCACCTTACCCCATTTTAGCTTCCCCTGCCCTCTCCCTGTCTCCTCTCAGCTGCTTCTCCGGTAGCAGTCATATCGCCATGATGGCATGGTGTGGAGGGAGGTGAGGCTGGTGAAGAAGGGAGAACAAGTATGGTTGGCTGGAGTGGGATGGTTAGCACTCAAAGCTTACGTTTTCAGCTTGTGTTGGAAGGATTTATTATGTGAGGGGACATGCGTGTGGGGTAGTGTTAGGAAAGCGGTGCAATCATAATTGTCTTATGTATACTCATCGCCAATTCCCTTCACTGTATGTACTGTGCACTTGTTGTATTCCAATACAAAGTACATACAGGGTGTCATAGTGAAGCAAGGCATGTGTCGGGTGGTGATGCTATGGCAACTAAGCGCACAGTAGTATGCATCACATCCTTCCATTCCCCACACAGACAGCTCACTTCGACTGACTTCTGCCTCACCTCCAACCCACATCGAACGCCACCCACCCCAGCCAACATGATGCCCGCTTGCATACTACTACACACTCCTAGACAGCAATATGTTTATACGGTACAAAATAAATCATGGAATTCACTTCATCAATCCTATGCATACTGGTATGTACAGCATAAGGTATTCACCAATCAACAGCGCCCTCTTCCATACGTATTCTCTCATACTAGCATGAGTACAGAGACTCTGCAACATGTACTTGTACCTGTGCCCAAATTTACGCATCACATAAGCACAGCTCCCCTCCCAAAACCCCTGGCTTCCACGCCTCACCTCAGTATCTCCAAACAAGTCAGTCAAGCCTGCCCAACCCTTTAGTTCTATCTAACCTCCCTTTCCTCCATCATTCTCTGTCACCTTTGCTCCGACCTGCCTGCACACATCCTTATTATGAACCCACACCCCTCCCAGCATCAAGAGAGATGTCAGCTGGGTTAGGGCAGTCAGGTACTGTAGCCCATCATCAGTGACTGTTGTATTCAATAGAAGTTGCTCAAGACCAGTCAACTTTCCCACATGCACCATGCCAGGAGTAGTTACACCCTTGCATTCTGAGAGCCCCAGCACCTTGAGAGAGGAGAGGCATTCCAAGTATGCCAAGCCAGCGTCCGTCACCTTTGTCTGTTGGAAATAGAGCCTTCTCAGTGCTGGGATGCATCCAACGCCGCCCAACAAATTGTCCACGACAACTATTTTCTGGAGGTCCAGCCTCTCAGCCGACCGCTTTGCAGCCTACCAAACCTATCGCACCCCTGTACTAAACTATCCCGGAAAGTGGAGGGTAACCTAGGAAAGTAGCTCTGATACCAGGTGTTATGAGTTGTATGAAAGAAGAGTGCGCAGAATGCAATATCGCGGAAGTGATTACAACTACTGAGCAAACAACGAGGCCTAGGCATAATATAGCACAGCTAGCTAAGCCGAGGTCGCGGAGTCGCGCGAAGGTTGGGTGTAGGTTTGGGGTTGGGAAACCCGAAGGCGACGCGGGAGACGTTCGGGAGGCGAGGTCGACGGACCGAGCCTGAATTCCGAAAAGTTGGAATTGAACGCGTAAGAGGTGCCTCGGTAAGGAATTAGCGAAATTCCTTACACTCGTAGATCCTACGGAAACTAAGACGGTCGGTGAGCATGTGTGTGCCGGGCATTGCAAGTGCAGCACTCGATAAAATTGTGACAGCAGATTCAGCCTCATTCAACGATAATATGGGGCTTGCGAACTGGCATCTAGAGGGGTAACTGGTGAACGAAAGAATGCTGCTTTGGGCTTCGAAACAAGAGTCGCCCCAAATTCGTACCTTGGTTAAGGCACGTGCTGGGCTGACGTGAGAACGACAATATCTTGCTTGTTTGGCACTTCGGTCCGCGGAAAAAACTCGGCGAACAGTTTCTCCAAAACAGGTGGTAACTATACGAAACTCATTGGTTGTGTTCTCGAAGCCAATGCATGTGCCAAACTCGATTTGCACTCAATTCGAACTGGATTTGTTCCGAGTGCTGGGTGACGATTTGAAATCGCTTTTGACTTCTTCCTACTCCAAGTTTAGCAAAAACCCGGTGTATGGTGAGTCGTGACGCATATTAACCGTACGTTGTAAGAGAAGGTGAATCAAATCGTTCCTACGAGTCCAGTACGACTCACGGTGGCGCCGTTTCCTCGTTGCTATTCGTATATCTTCCGCGCTGTCCTCTCGTCACTAGTATTCTTGGCCCTCGTCTCCCGCCTCCTTTTCTCGCATAATTTCGAGCCTGTCACGCGCTGCAGATCGATTTATCCCCGCGCCGCTTCTGAGTCACTTCGAAAACCGCGGAAGCACGACAGTCTGCGAAACCCTAAACAGAGGTAATCCTCCTTATCCCTTCCACCTCCGCGTTTCAAGCCGTGTGCAAGCTTAGGCTCACAGCCCACGATCAAAGTGCTCATGGCTCTGTCAACGGGGGCCAACGTGCAACTTCAGTGACATACCGACTCTCCTACGGCTTCTTCACACCGCCAAGAGACTATCAGAGCCCCTTGACGGTTCCTTGCCCCTCACAGGATTGGTATCTCGGACCCTCCGTGCTGATTTTCCACGCCCAGCACTCAACCAGGCCGACCTACGCTGTGACTGACTTACCTGTGTCTGACCTACCATGTGACTGACCTACCATGTTCCTGACCTACCCTGTAGTTGTCCTACCTTATACGGGACTTACTGTGACTAACCTAGCCTCTACTGACTGGCCCAGCCTTTTAAACCTAGCCCCGACTGACCAAGCCAGCGACGGACCTAGCCTGACCTGTGAATGCATGCTCTAGCCTGTGAGTGAGCTGACCTGTGAATGCATGACCTAGCCTGTGAGTGAGCTGACCTGTGAATGCATGACCTAGCCTGTGAGTGAGCTGACCTGTGAATGCATGACCTAGCCTGTGAGTGAGCTGACCTGTGAATGCATGACCTAGCCTGTGAGTGAGCTGACCTGTGAATGCATGACCTAGCCTGTGAGTGAGCTGACCTGTGAATGCATGACCTAGCCTGTGAGTGAGCTGACCTGTGAATGCATGACCTAGCCTGTGAGTGAGCTGACCTGTGAATGCATGATCTAGCCTGTGAGTGAGCTGACCTGTGAATGCATGACCTAGCCTGTGAGTGAGCTGACCTGTGAATGCATGACCTAGCCTGTGAGTGAGCTGACCTGTGAATGCATGACCTAGCCTGTGAGTGAGCTGACCTGTGAATGCATGACCTAGCCTGTGAGTGAGCTGACCTGTGAATGCATGACCTAGCCTGTGAGTGAGCTGACCTGTGAATGCATGACCTGGCCTGTGAGTGAGCTGACCTGTGAATGCATGACCTAGCCTGTGAGTGAGATGATCTGTGAATGCATGACCTAGACTGTGAATGAGCTGGCCTGTGAGTGCATGACCTAGCCAGTAGTTGTCCTAGCCTCAGATTGCGATAGCGTATTAGTGACCCGGCCAACAGTTTTCTTGCGTGTGTGGGACTTACTCCGCGTGTGCGCGTGTGCCAACAATTCCGTGACTGACCTACTCCTGACTGGCCTAAACTGTGACCACCAACGAGTGCAGCGCGATGGTCTTAGCTGTCACAATGACTTAGCAGTAGCTAGTTCAGATCCTCCAGGTCACCCCAAAACAATCCCAACCACTCTCCTTACCACCTATTACCCCTCCCAGCCACTTCAAGTCTCCCATTTCATGATACTGTGGTGCTCTATGCGTGAGCAATGGCCGAGTCAAGCCAGCCTCGTTGTTACCCGCGTCAGCTTGCTTTGTATCACTTTGGACCTGGGTTGACTTTGGCTCTATGCGTGAGAAATGGCCAAGCCAAGCATGACTCGTTCGTTTCGTTCCAAGTCAAAGTGTGTGCGTGTCCAGCATGTGGCTCAAATGTAATGCCTGAGCTGCAGAGGCTCTCGGCAAGCTGCCAGGCTCGCCACGAGCCCTGCGACAATCGAGACACCCTATCTGGACCGTTTAGCACTAGAAAAATACAGCAGCCAGAGCAACGCGCAAGCCGAGTGAAGCCAAAGACACGTGCGAGAAAATGATGAGCAAATAATCTGATATGGAAGTGTGGTGAGAGAAGCCAAAGACACGTGCAATGTTGGAGGGCTGCGAACTATTGGTTTTAGCATGCAATGGGAAAGGGGGAACATCGACTATTCAGTCAGTCGTTTCTGCAACAATAATAACCTAGGTGACCTACGTCATTTCTTGTGCAGTGGTCAGCGTGGATGTGATGTGAGAGACTCGATTTTGGCATGGGTTGTGGGCTTCACATTTTTTGTGACGCCCTTTCCCGCCTCCACATTTTACAGTCCCACCTCCTCGCTTCCCCTTCCCGCCTCCCAATATACTTTTCAAAAATCCCCTTTTGTCCTTGCCGAAGCCCCACTTCCCCTACCCGCCTCCCCATTTCAACGTCCCGACCCCTTCCCCACTCTCCTTGCCTTCCCATCTCCGCGCTTGTCTTCCCCTCTCCCCTCCCTTCTTTCCCATCTCCTTGCCTGCCTTACCCTCTCCAAAAGCAATCAGCAACTTTCATTCATGCCCCTGTTTCTCAATCCGTTTCTTCTTTTCCTGTGTGTATTTTGTCAAAATTGTCCACATGAGCAGAATAATGGAGCAGCGGAATGCAAACCAGCAACGCGCGGAGACAATCGTTAAGGAGGACCCTTTGGCTCTGGAGATCTCCTACCTGGGCACCAGGGCCAAATATCTAGAAGGCTGGTTTCCCTACATGCGCTTGTCGGACGTGAAAGAGTTGGTCGCCCTTCTGATTGTTGCGCATGCCTCTGGACCAAGGCAGATTCCCCTTGGAGTGGGAGGAGTGGCCTCGGGGCGAGGACACTGTTGTGAAGCTTCCTGACGACCCCAGTGCGAGATTCGTGAAGGGAGGGTGTGAGAAGAGGTGCAAATGTGGTGCCTAGCGGTGGAGCTTGCATGGCAGGGCGGCATGAAGCTGGAGGCTGAGGTATGAGAGACAGGTGCAAGGGCAGCAAGGGGCGAGCCAGTTGGGATGGAAAGGAGGGAGAGGTGTTTGCGAGTGCTAAGGGGCATGAGTTGTGGAGAAGGGCTGCCATACCCAGGTTCTGTGAAGACATGCAGGATGATTATGGGCCTTCCGATGGTGCCAGTGGGAGCAGCAGCCGCAGCGACAGCTCTGGGAGAAACAGGAGAAACCAAGGGAGAATAGAAGATGATGGGACGGGCAAGGAGGGGGAGGAGGCGGCTTATTTGAAAGCGTGGCCCGGGGGAGTGAATTTGGTGGCATGTCTGCGAGAGATGCTGCTGGGGGAGCCGTGCTACTGCCCTGTCTCCCCTGCTGCCCCTTCCACCTCTGCTGCCCCTACCACCCCTGCTGCCCCTTCCACCCCTGCTTCCTCGTCCACCCCTGCTGCCCCACTGATCAGTGTTGTGCCAAACCATGCCAAACCTGCACCCGCTTTGGGTACAGAATACACTGGTACTGCTGTTGGTGGGGAGCGTAAGGTCGCAAGTGGAGGCGAACTGAATGCTATCGAGGGTGAGGGACTCCAGTGGAGGACAGAACACTTCTACAGGCGTCGCGGGTGTTCTCCCCTTTAAGGGTGTGCCACACAGCTGCTCGTCTTTCCCAGAGCCTCCTTCAATCTCAGGCTCTACCAGCTGCTGTGATTCCCTTCCCGCTAGTCCCGCGTCCTCTAACGAACCTGCTCCAGCTGTAGCTACCCCAGCTCCTACTGCCGCCCCTTCTGCCGCTGCCCCAGCTTCTGCTGCTGTGGTCACTGCTCGAGGCACTGCTGTTGCTCCAGGCAGCGCCGCTGCCCCATTCAGTGATAGAGGAGCGCCAGGTGGAGCCCCACGAGCGACAGCCTCCATGCGAGCCACCAGCTGCTGCGTGAGCGCCTTCAGCAGCCCCCGCGCCTCTCTCCGCGACACCGCCACAAACTCTGAGACCGATGGCTGACTGACTGACCCATGGCTGACTGACTGACCCATGACAGACTTACCAATGGCTGACTGATTGACCCGTGGCTGACTGACTGACCCATGACAGACTTACCAATGGCTGACTGGCTGACCCATGGCTGACTGACTGATCCATGACTGACTGACCGATGGCTGACGACTGACTGACCCATGGTCGACTGACTGACTTATGACTAACTGACTGACCTGTGGCTGAATGACTGACCCATGGCTGACTGACTGATCCATGACTGACGGATCTATGGCTGACTGACTGACCCATGACTTACCAATGGCTGACTGACTGACCCATGGCTGATTGACTGAACGATGGCTGACATACTGACCCATGACTGGCTGATTTTCTGGCTGACTGACTGACCGAATGCTGACTGACTGACCTATGGCTGACGCTGACTGACTGACCCATAGCTGACTGACTGAACCATGGCTGACTGACTGACCCATGGCTGACGCTGACTGACTAACCAGTGGTTGACTGAATGAACCATGGCTGATTGACTAACTTATGACTGACTGATCTATGGCTGACTGTTTGACCCATGGCTGACTGACTGAACCATGGCTGCTGATTGACTGACACATGACAAACCGACCGATGCCTCACGGATTGACCCATGACTGCCTGACCCATGGCTGACTGACTGACCCATGGCTGATTGAATGATCGATGCCTGACTGATTGACCTATGGCTGACTGACTGACTCATGGCTGACTGACTGACCCATATATGATTGACTGACGCATGTCTGACTGACTGACCCATGGCCACCTGACTATGGCTGACTCCTGACTGACCCATGACTTATCAATGGCTGACTGACTGACTGACTGACTGACTTATGGCTGATTGACTGACTCATTGCTGATTGACTGACCCATGGCTGACTAACTGACCGAATGTCCGCCATGATCCTTATAAAAAACAAAAGGCCAGGCTGCTGCATTGATGGTCGAATTCACAAGCCAGCTGCGCTGAAAACGTACTTGACAAGCCAAGTTGATGAAACAGCCCCCTTGCAGCAGCCAGCCGCAGAAAAAAGGTTCTGGTCAGCCAGCCCGCCCTGCCAGCCAGCCACCTTGCAGCAGTCAGCCACAGACGAATGGTTGTGGTCAGGTTGGGAGAGTCATACAGTGAGATGGGTGGGTAGGTACGGTTTCAGCAAGGTGGGGTGAGAGCACAGGCATGGCTTCAACAAGGGCAGCTCACGGCAAGAAGGGGTGAGAGCACAGGCATGGCTTCAACAAGGGCAGCTCACGGACGTGTTTTAAGCCCTCCTTCAAGGCGTCTTTCAGTATGCAAGGCCGAGCAGGCGGTTCAGCTTGATGGCTCTTCTCGTCAAGTGGGGTTTAAGCGCAGCCACTCCTTCCAGCATCGGGCTTCGTCTCAGAGTGGATAAGTCCGGCGTTTTGTTTTGGACAGGATCCTGTCAACAAGGCGGTTGCAGTCATCAGGTTGTGGTCAGTCATCCCATGGGTCGGTCGGTCAGCCATGGGTCAATCAGCCTTGGGTCAGTCAATCAGCCTTGGGTCAGTCAATCAGCCTTGGGTCAGTCAATCAGCCATGGGTCAGTCAATCAGCCATGGGTCAGTCAATCAGCCATGGGTCAGTCAATCAGCCATGGGTCAGTCAATCAGCCATGGGTCAGTCAATCAGCCTTGGGTCAGTCAATCAGCCTTGGGTCAGTCAATTAGCCTTGGGTCAGTCAATCAGCCATGGGTCAGTCAATCAGCCAGGGGCAGTCAGTCAGCCACAGGCCGGTCAGTCAGCCATGGGTCAGTGAGTCAACCATGGGTCAGTCAGTCAGTCACGGTTCAGTCAGTCAGCCGGGTGAGTCAGTTAGCGATGGGTCAGTCAATCAGCCATGGGTCAGTCAGTCAGCCATGGGTCAGTCAGTTAGCCATGGGTCAGTCAGTTTGCCATGGGTTGGTCAGTCAGCCATGGGTGGATGAGTCAGCCATGGGGTTCATGAAGTATCTGCTCAGCGCACTGCTCATCATCGTCTTAACAAGTCATATCACACTTCCCAACCCCGATTCATCCCTCCCATACGGCTCTTGCCCTACAGCATCTGACATATCATTGCAAATGATAGCGCCATGAAGGGATCAAATCAAACCCTTTCTTGCCCACGTGTTACAGATGACAACCCACTGAAAAGAGGTAGATACTGCCTGGAGGGAGGATGTGATGTTTGCATGTTAGATATGTGGGATGGAGAAAGAGTTGCTATATCATGTAGTGTACTTCATTACGAGTAGAACGCTTGTTGCTGCCACAAAATGGCTTATGATTTCCATTTGAGAAACCCATATTCGTTATGAATAGAGCCATTCTAGTGGCAAATATTATGTATGCAACATTCAAAATATGTCATTAACACAAAATATGTGCCCATGCACAAGCCAAAGCTGTAGCTCCCACTTTTTATGTACGAAGGCCAATTTTCTCGTTCCATTTACCTGATCACCAAATATTCTACCAGCATCCATTCCATTTATCTGTTCAACAGGCCATATTTCCCCATATACCGTATGTTTTGGTATGGCACAAACCAGAAGCTCTGGGTAATCTAGCAAGGTGCACGTGAAGACAAACTTGATTATGTGGAAAAGCCACTTGGCATGACCCCTCGCTCTGCACGGGCCATTTCAGCAGTGAAGCTGGAGGAGCCAATGGAACTCCCAAGCTCCGTGTCCATGCGAGATTTGGCCTCGCCCACATGGCTCTCATGTGCTCCAGAAGCTTCCTGATTCAACTTCACCAGCTCCCCCAGCACTTGATTCATGGAGGGGCGGGAGGCCGCAGGCATGGTGGTGCAGGAGAGGGCAAGGCGAGCCCAGCGCAGCACCAAGTGATCTGGTGCGTCCAAGTAGGGGTCCTTGAAGACTGTAACGGCATCTGACTCCACGAATGGTGTGATCTGTTGGGTTGAGCCATGTGGAAATATGCGTGATTGTTCAGTGAACTACATACTTATGAGTGCAGTTTTTGCATAAAATATTCAGACAGTAAGTCTGTAGCAAGCATCTGTGCTCACCCATTGCTTCAGACTGATCTGGCTGGTCTCGCTCATATGCACGGCCTTGCGTGCCAAGATGACCACCAGCATCACCACACCAAAGCTGTTAAGACCAATCAGAAAGAGGGACAGGAGAATGGAGATTAATGTGAGACATTTCAGAGGAGCATTTCTATGCCCTACCCACATCACAAATGGAAGAAAAATACATTTCTATGCTCACACCTGCTGCTGGAGTGTTCCAATCACTCAAGTGGTAGCCACAGTTGGTTTCTTACTCAACTCCAAAGAAATATCTTCACCCGCTCACCTGTACACATCTGCTGCTGAAGTGGCCTTGTGGGACTTGTAATAGGCAGGGTCCACATAGCCCGGAGTCCCCATTACTCGAGTGGCAGCCACAGACGTGCCCATAGCGGTGCCTCCAGTGAGCTTTACCAAACCAAAGTCTGCAATCTTGGCCTGAACAACAGTTTGTACGCAAAATTAAGATAGTCAATTGCACCAAGTGCTTTCAATATGTCAAGACATGCTAGTAAAAGAAAAAACAAAATGTTAGGTTGGTGACTTGTCAAACAAAATGCAAGGAGAAAAAATAGTTAGACGTACATGCATTTTTGCATCAAGCAGAATGTTGGCTGGCTTGATGTCGCGATGCACAATGCCGAAGTCATGAAGATATTGCAACCCCTTGGCCACTCTAATCAGAACATCCAGTCGTTGCAACAGAGAGAGATGACTTGGAGCTCCTAGGAAGGGGTAATGGAAGAATTGGTTCCAATGGGAATGTTATTGAATTGCTTGTCCCTAAGGAATGGACATTGTGATCTGAAGAAAGGGTTTGGAAGGCATGATACAAGGTATGCGGCACGGCAAGTGCAGGGCACATGGGCCACTGACGTCACACTCAGAAACTACTCCAAGATAATGGCTATCAAAGAGTATAATAAGACATCCATCATAGACAAGTGAAGTTTTATTACCTGGTCCAATCCAGCTCTCCAAGTCCCGGTTGGCCATGAACTCATACACGAGCACTTGCTCAATCTGGCCCGTGCTGGAATCATAGTGCACACAGAAGCCCAACAGCCGCACCAGGTTGGGGTGGTGCTTACTGGCCATCTCCTTCACCTGCAAGATGGGAGAGGAAAAACAAAAAGGGAGTAGGCAAGAGGAAGAGAGTGAAGTGAATGTGTTTATAATGGTGTATGCATGCATGTACAAGAATGGTACTGTAATGATGTCTGAATAAACTCAACAGCAAAATCCAAGTGCCAAATACATCACATGCGATATTGGGGAAAGTCGAAAAGGAAGAGGGCAAGAGGGAAAGTGTGTGTCTGTGTTTGACAAAGTGTGTGTGAGTATGTGTATGTGTGCATCTTGCTGGGTGTGCGCACATGTGTGCATGTGTGTGTGTGTGTGTGTGCGGGCGCGTAAACGCGCCTGAATGTGCATTTGAGTTTGGATGAATGTGTGTGTGTCCCTGTTTGTGTGTTTGTTGGCATACAAAGAATGTCCAATAACAGCATTGCAACGTGTTCAGGGTATGAGGCCAGAAGACTCATCAGCACCATCTTGTACCTCAGTAAGGAAGTCACTGGATAGGACCCTGGATCGCTTCACAGCCCACATTTCATTGGGTTCATGCACTGACACGCCCTTGTACACATCTCCAAAGCTGCCGCTTCCAATCCTGTTTCCCTCTGCCCAGTCTCCCGTTGCGCTTGCGAGTTCTTCCAGAGTGAACTTCTGGCACACATGTGGCTTCACTGCCTCCATCTCCACCACCACGTCTCTCTCCATCACCCATTCCGCTGCTCCTGCAGCCACAGCCGCAGCTGCTGCAGCAGCTGCTTCTCCTTCTGGGTCCCTATTCCCTGCCTTGGATGCTGCGTGATCAGGTTCCAAGTCTGTCAGAGGTGGTGAAGGAGACAAGATGAAGATGAGGAATTAAACGTGGACAGGAACTTAGGGTTTGGGAGGAGGCTGTATTTCGAACAGCGTAGACTGAAAAGGTCCTACCTTGGAGTGCACTTTCTTCAGCCAAATCTTTGCCGTCCACATCTGTGCCTCCTGTTGCCCCTCTGGAGTGGTAACGTTTGCACATCAGCCAGATAAGCAGCAGCAGCACTAGGAAAGCCACAGCGCCAGCAGCAGCAATGCCAGCAACGGCTCCGTTGGATAAACCGCCTTCAGACTGGGTAGCAGATGCTGCAGGCTTACTAGGAGTTGGCGAGGGAGGAGGTGGGGAGGCTGTGGGCATTGGCGATGGGGAGGGTGTTAGCAATGGTGATGGGAGGTACATTTAAGGAGTAGGAAGATGGATATAGTGAATGGAAAAGGCTATCACACGTGGGAATAATGGTGGGATTGATGAACAGGGATGTGGGAGAGAAAGCGAACAAAGACTCTGAAAGGTTGAAAAAAAAAAAAACCAGCAAAAGCCACGAGTTTTTCTTTGGTATTCTTCACTATAAATTGTGGATGCGTGACACTGCAGAAGTTTGTTCTGTAGATGGCAGTGTAGTGTTCATGCACTCAGCACGAATGAGAGCGTTGTCAGAAAGGCAATATTACTTGCAGCGACCCGCATAAAGAGATTGCATTTCACCTGGTTGTGGCTTGTCACAGGTGGTGCAGAAGGAGCTACACTGCTGGCAGAGAGCACTTGAAATGTTCTGTTTGACCACACAGCTGCTGTAGTCAGGAGGGCATGCGATTGCAGTCCAAGTTGTGTCCCTGCATGTGCACATGGGGTGTTCTCAAACTATAAACCAGAAACCGGTTTCAGCTCTGAATAAAACTGTCTGAGATTTCTATTGGAAAGGTCTGGTGAGACATTGCAATGCTATACTTTTCCAAGATGTTTTATAGGTCAAAACCCAGTAAACCATATATTGGTTTCCATGCATGTTAGGGAATAGGAAATGGCTTAACGTGGTCTGGACCCAACATCAGTTGTCGTGCCGAAATGGGCAATAGTTGTCGTGCCGAAACGGATTGAGCCGGGATAATCATCTTCGGCCTTTGGTACCTTGTATACCTCCTACTTATGGCTGCAACAGTACTAGCTCGAATACACGACAGAAACACATTGGCTCCCTGTATACCTCCTCCTCATGAGTCATGATACACTTTAAGGAGAAATAATGGACATTGCAACAATTTAATCTGCATGCCTTACAGGAATAAATGTCGAGTAAGATTGCCCATTGTTGGAGGGAGTTGGCCATTGAGATTGTTCCAACTTACATCACTGCAATGGAAATGTCAGATGATGGTTGGTTACTTCCCAGTCAAAGCATTGCTGATAAGATTGATGATGAATACATGCCAAAGGCTTCACCGAAGAATGGAACCCAAGGCGGTAGAAGGTAGGCAAAAAATGGGGAGGGAGATAAGAAAGGCATGATATGTTGACATAGGAGTGTGGCCGGACACATCATGCTTTGAGGCAATCTCAGGTTACCATGGGTAGAATATGAGTTCAGCAAAGGGCTTGGTGGGGTCGACCCGACCTGACCGAACGCATGTTTTTGCAAGGGATGGGTCACCCCAAGGAGTCCCCTAACCAGATCGGAGACTTGACCCGAGAACCGAATGGCCATTGTTTCCCAGGATGGTTAACTTATCAAACTTCCTTGATACTGACAGGCGCGTAAGGCTGCTCATGCTGCCGGTGGTGGATGGAATAGCCCCATTTAGTTACTACTTGAGATCGAATTGTGCGATGACTCCTTGAGGGTGCGTAACTACCAAAAAAACTGTAGACAAGTAGGAATTGATTGCTTAGGGATAAGAAGGCGAGATTATGGCTACAACAGATATTCCAAGATGGAATACCCACTTTCACATTGGGGATTCAGAGGCAAGATTTCATAGCTATGGAAGGAATATGTACGCTCAAAAGTGATTCTAAGGCTGGTTGGATAAGTGTGTGTGCTCACAATTTTACTGGTGCAGATCTTGCTCAGCTGGCAATTGAGTCGGCATTCGAACAGATTGAGTTGGCAGCTCTGGCAGGAGGAAACTAATTGACTGGAAAGGCGACCCGCAAGCTCACGATGAACTTAGGGTTGACCAGTTTTGAGGGGCCGTAGAGAAATACTTGGATCCAAAACGTGATTTGGGTAGTGACGGAACTATAGACGCTATACTTGGTGGGACTGCGTTTTGCTCATCACTGCTAGCTTGATTTCAGAGGTTCTCACTTTCATCATCCTCACATATATGGAAGATCCAGATCCACCCTCGCTCATGTACATTGTTGCCTGATTGTTGCAGGACCGCATTTCAAGGCTAATGAGGAGATATCGGCCGCGGAAGAACCTGGTACCCATGATGTTACCAATGTGAGTGGTGTTGAGAGGTAAGCAAAAGTTTAGCAGCAAAAAGGAGGAGTTGCACTAGCAAGCAGTTGAGTACATATAGGAAACCCTAAATTGGGTTGTACTCGCTATAGAGTGCCCCACTGCAGGCTAGACAAATACAGCATTCTGACACACCCCCATAACCAAAGTGGGGTGTAATCAGCACAACAAGCATGCAGAGCAATTGTTCACAATGATAAACAAAGCTAGTGGCTACCATAGAGGGCAAGTGAGGAGGAGGAGAGACTGTGGGGGCGAGAAGATGGGAGGCGACTGCTGAAGCTGCAGATCACAGGAGCTGCGGCTCAGTGGCTACCGAAGCAAAGGCCCGGACTACAGGAGTAACTGGCTCCGCGGAGATTGTAGCCTCCTGACTGGAGCAACCGACCCGCAGGCGACTGGCGACTACCGGAGATTGTAGCCTCCGGACTACTGGTGCTGCTGGCGACACGACTGCGACCTCCGTTCAACCTCCGCCAACTGCCCCACGCCCCTATCACACACCCCCTACTGCACCCCTAGCTCCACTCCCACGACACCCCACTTAAACCCTAAACCCTCAGCTCCCACACACCCACCCCCCTCAGCGGCAGCTGCAGCAGGGAGACGGAGGAGGAGGAGGAGCTGCAGGTTACCCACACCGGTCACCCCCATGCCCGCCACCCCCAAACCCTAACGCAGGCAGGAGCGCGGGAAGTAGCAGGGACGGTTCACGGAGGGAAAGGGAGGCGGCGGGGGGTCTCCTGGGTGCCACGAAGGAGCAGGGCGCGGGCCCCCCGAGGGCGCCACGACGGGTGACGAGAGGGGGGCCGCGCACGGGCCGCGCGCGGGCTGTACTGGCCGCGCGTGGGCCTGGCGCAGCCCGTACGGGTCGCGCGCGGGCTTGGCGCAGCCCATACGGGGCGCGCGCGGGCCTGATGCAGGTCGCGCGGGGCGCGACGGGCGACGGGGGACGACGCGACGGTCGGCAGGGGGCGACGCGCGATTCAACAGGCAGAAAACCGCCGCGCGCCCCGAGCGCGCGGCGGGAAGAAAAAATCGCTGTGCGTCCGAAGCGCGCGGCAGGCAGGAAACAGCACGCGCCCGGAGCACGTTACAAGCAGTAGAGCAGCGGAAGCATCGGGTGGGGCCCACCCACAGGATCGACCCAGGAGGGTTGACCTGCTCAAATACCATGTCGAGAGGTAAGCAAAGGTTTAGCACCAGAAAGGAGGAGTTGCACTAGCAAGCAGTTGAGTACATATAGGAAACCCTAAATTGGGCTGTACTCGCTATAGTGTACCCCACTACACGCTAGACAAATACAGCATTCTGACAAGTGGCAGGCTGGACAGCTGACATAACGTTGCTGTTGGGAGAGATCTCCTGCTCCGCGAATGTTGGTCACCGCCGTGCACCGTCTCCATCCCTAGCCCTGAAGTCAAAAGTGCACAGCGGTTCAGCCAAATGGGCCAAAGTGTACCTTGATAGAGGACATAGGAATCCTCCTAGTGTCACCGGCAGTCCTCCCCTGTTCGGCTGTCATACACCGCTGTGAAAAGGTGTGTCTGGCTGCACGTAGAACTTAGGTCTGCCAATCAGGCCGACCCTACATCTGCCTGCCGTTGCTGCAGCTGCAAACTGTGCGGTAGTGGCTGCCACCGCAGCAAAGCCAGCCTTGGATAATGGTTTTCTGGTGATGGGGACATTGGTGCATAGGGGGAATGGCGTCGGAATCTCCCCACCACTTCAGTTCCAGTGAATTTCCCGCTCAATCTCCTGCCGACGTTTGGAAGATTCAAAATCTTTCTTGCCCATATACCTTGTCATTGAACATTACAGGGTCTTGTCGCGAGGCCAATGTGCAGAGATGGACTATAGACCCCCGCTCCCGGTACCCAAGAGTATACCTGTGCAACGAGACGAGTTACTCGTTCGGTATCACCCGAGTTACTCATTTGGGTGCGAGTAACGAGTTTAGGCTTTTGCAAAATTTACTCGTACGAGTAGAAGCGAGTTATACTAGTTGAGTTTTTTTTGCTCGACGAGTACTCGCGTGCTTTTAGGCGAGCATTTATGGAACTCGTCGATTAGTCATTCAAGACCAGTTACGACCAACATCACACACAACTAAGTTTCCGCGTGAGTCTAGGAGCGATAATATTGGTAAGGTACTCAGCGTATGCCAGGGGGCGAGCGGGTGAAGGGGACGGGAAACCCGGGATGACTGTTTCTAGCAAACAAATCCGCCAGATCCAGTCGACCTAAAATCCACATTGATTGGAGGTTGGGTTGTGAGTTCGACGAAGTGCGGTGCAAAGCGGTTATGCTGTTGTAGGTTCACATTCCCAAAAAATACAATTGGATACTTATTTTTTTCCAACCGGTTTACTCCCCTGAACCGCACTAAATCCCATCCACTCTACCTAACCCAACCTCTCCAATCTCTACATCCTGCGACAGAGGGGGATCTTGATTCCTCCCGTACGCACCCGACCTTGACAACAATGTTGTGCATCAAAATCGCGAATCAGGATTTCATCGCGCAGCCTTTTTCTTCGCGTGCCTGCTGGTAAATACCGTATAGGGCACATGGCCGAGCGTTACTCATACTCGGACGAGCTTTTCTAAATGCTCGCTCGAGTTTCCTGTGGAAGGGCGAGTAACGAGTTTTTGTTTGGGGGAAAATGCTCGGCCGAGCATTACTCGACTCGG